TCAAAATAGTCTTATATAAATCCGTATATACATTTTCATACATATAAATACACATGTATATACACGTGGCAGATAGAGTCTCGCTTACCTCTCTAGGCGGTGGCCCGGTAAAGGAAAAGTTGACTTTGGATTGAATAGCCAATCGTACATCATCCACATCAACCTTGTTTTTACTCGCATGCTCTGAGTAGACTTTGGCGTTTTCCAAGACTTCTGACACGTAGCCTAAGCATGAAATGCGCATGAGAGTGTCGGTGGAAGTATGTCGTAGAAGTTTTGAGGACTGTCAGTTTCCAGTATATTTCTAACCTTACCTTGGATGCATGGGACAAGTAATAGGAACGTCGAAATGCAGTCAAAGTGGTGTGTTAACAAGGAATTGGTGCGCATTTTTATATGGGGCTGGTGTTCTGTGCAGTTGCTCGCATACATGCACTGGCTGCAGTGTAAACTACACACAATTAATTAAAACAAAGCACGGTACGTATATCATAGTGATGGTACAACAAAGACAGCACGAAGAATAGCACTCATATAAGGTAAAGACATTGCAGATAGATTCTGGCCAATCAAATGTAAATCCCCAATAGCTTGGTGTCAAGTCATTGGCTAGCCAATACTACTCGCCACCGACCGTTCATAACCGGAAGCCTTTCCAGGCACACATTTGACACGCACCAGACAAGCAACCATCGCACAGAATACACTCAGCAATCTGAATTCGCACGTACGGTAAGTGAACTCCAGCAATTGATTAACCACCCGAGGCTCGTAGCTGTTCACACCACTCGCGGCAAGGATTTCTTGGATAACCTGCACATGCTTGGGTACTGTTGGGGCGCTGCGTGATGCAATAAAACGAAAATGAGAGCCATATTCAACATTAAGAAGGTGATATGGGTGGACAAATAGGTATACGGGGTGATATTGATGATCGTACGGGCGCAATGAGTCTGCAAACGACACGAAGTAATATGCGAAAGTCTACACACGCAGATCCCTGCACGAGGGTACATATCAATAGATTACTACGCATACGCTGTCCTACAAAATCTACATATAGTCAGGTGGTGACCAAGATACTATAACATTCACATACACACAGAGACAGAGACAGAGACAAAGACAGAGACAGACACCCACCATATATATGTATATATATATACACACGTACGCGCACGCACGCACACACACACACACACAAACACACACACACACATATATATATTTATATATATATATATACTCACACACGCATACATATGAATATAAATAATATATATACTACATACATAC